AATCAGTTTAAATCACCATTGAAGAGATTAACATGAGGTCTGTTGTAATGAACGAACTAACGCGTTTTGGTTGAAGGAAATGGAATTTCGGGTTCTTAAGACCAAACCTGAGTCATAAGAACCGTAGAAGTTCAATGTCCCTTGACCAAAACGGTTCGTTCACTCAAGCCAAATTTCACGTTGATACAACCAAATGTTTTCTCTGTGTAATGTGATTACGCTTGTTCGTGCTTCTCTTTGAAAACTGCGATTTTGGAGAATCTATGTGTAGTGCTCCACTCAGGCAACCGAAACAATTTTTTGCAATGCTACTGTAAACTCACAAGGGGCTGTCGATCCCAGGGTTGAAATACATTCTAACTCTTTCTCTTTCTCTGTCTCTCTTGCTATCGCGTGATGCGTTTAACCGAGTAGAAAGCGACCCGCTATTTGCCGACTCCAGCTTCATCCGTCCGTGGCTCTATTATCGCTTTACGATCTATTCACTTTTTCATTATCGTTATCGCTTTATGACGACGACGTGAGTAAGCCGCAGAGTTAATATCGAATGACAATATTTTATTAACGCTCGCGAGACGGGCGTCACCAGTACTATCGCCGCGATCCCGATATCTTCGTCCTAAATAGAACTCGGGAGAAACTTCGGATTCATTCGCGCCGATGGCACGCGGCGAGTATTCCGCGGCGTTATTATTTTTACGTATTAATAGAACCCGCGGAACCCGCTCTTCCTCCCTCTTCCCACCTCAATCGACCGAGCGGCTGAATTAATTACGGATGTGATAAATTCCGCGAATATTTCTTTTTAATTAATCTCCATATAAAGGAGTTATCGCGCGAGCGAGCTATCTTTTGTCGGAGCTCCGGTCGGCCGTCTCGCGGGTTAACGAAGACCCCGACGACTCCGCACTTAGACCTCATAGATTTCCAGTGAGGTGAATCGAAGAATGTCCGCGAGGATTGAAATACGACCGGCAGTGGAGGAGGGAGTCGGAGCGAGGGGCGGCAGAGTGGTGGCGTGGAAACAAAGGGAGCGCGAAGGAGGCGGAGGAGTGTCAATGTCTTCCCGATCAAAGCGAGTCCTGCAGGTTTCTCCGAGCCTACCCGCTCATTTTCTTTCTCTCTGTCTCTTTCTCCCTTTCTTTTTCTTTCTCCTCCTCCCTCTGTCTGTCTGTCTCGGTCTCTCTGCCACGTTCCTCGCGCGCCCTTCCGCGTCCTCCCCAACCCTTCTCGTTCGCCGCATCTCATCAGACTCCTAGCTTTTTCTCGGATGAAAGAGTTACAAAGGCTTTCCTGGGACACGCGTAAGTACTACCTAGCGCGGTTACCGACCAAGACGTCTCTGCTCGTCCTTTTCCCTTCGGATGAAAGGCGGAGCCGAGTCGAGCCGAGTAACGGAGAGACAGAGAGGAGAGAAAGACACCGAGAGAGAGAGAGAGAGAGAGAGAGAGAGAGCCGGGCAGAGAAGAGCAGCGTGGCGCACATAGTAGATCCAGAGCGGAGGTAGACCGACGGGAGATGCGGCAGACAGAGTATGGACGGCCGACGAAGCCGATAAACACTAGGCAAGTCTGCCCGCTGGCCACGGTAGTGTGCAGGCACACGGCTCGGGACGACCCTCGAGGATGCACCAGGAGCTGGGGGAGGAGGGAGAGGAGGCGGCTGGATTACGATTCCCTAGCGCAAGGGTCCCCAAATTACATCCCGCGGCAGGCTGGGTTGTTATCCGGTCCGGCGAGTCTTATTCGAAATGAAGTTATAATGATGATGACGACGACAACGATGATTAGGATGATAATGATGATGGTGATGATGATAATGACGATAGCCAAAGCAACATTGTGAGAAAGTGGAAACGAAATGGAAACCGACGAGGGTGCGCGGATGAAATCGTCGAGACTGTGCAGAGACACTCGAGTGTATCCTGCTTGAAAACGCGAATCTGACGGGAATTGATAATGGACGTATCATTAAAGCCATTGCGCGCGACGTGTCACTCGAATGTCATTACAGAATTCGGCAACTGTAAACACGCGTCGTTCCAATTGCGAACATATTTCATGCATCGAGAGTGCCTCTCCTCTATCGCGACATATTGTTTTAATTAATTTCACTTCGATTGGAATTTCATTCGTGATTCTCGTTTCGATTTTACTACTGACTGACGGCCGTCGGCAGACACATTTTCCCTATACGTGCCAAAGAATACGTACTCTTTCCAAGCCAGTGTCGTACACTTCAAAATTACGTCTACGCGGATTATTTACGTATTGTTTACATGATGTATACACGGTTCTTTTTCGCGCAGATAATGTAGACATGTTAATGTAGAACATTATAAATTATGTTAAAATACACAAAGAAAAATAGTAATTAAATTATGAAAAGTTAGCGTATATTCCGGCTATTAATTAAAATGTAATGTTTAAGAAAAGATAATTGCGTGAAATGTTTATGTCAACATGTGACAGATTGGTAAACTGTAAGATTAAGAATGTAACCACAAAATTCGATAAATTCTAACTCGCTTAGAAAAAAAATATTAATTTTTCTTAATCAATTGTTGTGTATACCGTACGTTTTTTAAACGATATCCATAGATCACTCATTGTCAATAGATGACATCTCATTCATAGTCTACATTGTCCACACGTTGATGTAGAACATCATAATTTAAACATAAACATCTATTTTTTCCTCTTTTTTATTAATTCTTACGTCCTTATAGTCATAAATGCGACTAGTGTAAGAGTTACAGAGAAAAATATCGGAAGTGGGAAATTTGCTCGAGTTGAGAATCGAACCTTGCCCGGTTACTCAACCAACTAAACCATCCAAAGTTCCATGTTTCGATACACCTCTTTCCCTCTCTTATATGGTTTTATTATTGCCAAAATGGTAATTCTTCTAATTTAATCGCCTATAATTCGGTTTCAAATCTTACTGGATTTTACACTAGTGAAACCTTCACGAAGGATGGTGACGACGGTGATCCCACATCGGGTTCCACTTCTGGGGATCAACCGGATTGAAGAGGTGGTCTGAGCAGCCACTCTAGCTCGAGGAAGAATAGGCCTCTAAAGAGTAGCGTAATAGAGAGTAGGCGGCGGTCGTGGTCTGGAAACTCTTTCTCTCTGTCTCTCTTTCTCTCAGCGGAGCTGCCGGTCGCGCGTTGCTAGCGGAAACCGTTACGAACCACGAGTTACTCTTCTCTATCGGCGGACGCCGCGCTCGACGGGCGAGAGAAAGAGAGGACAAAGGCCGTCTACGTTCGAGAATAAACCGATATTATCGACGACGATGAGAAAGGAGAGCCTCGTGTCTCACGAGCTCGATCCTCGTTAAAAAAGAGAGAGAAAGAGTGAGAAAGAAAAACGTACGGTGTCAGTGCCACGACTGCTCTTTAAAAAAAGGGGGAGGGAGAGAAAAGAAAAAGAGGAGAGGAAGAAGAAACTGCCACGCGAAACACGTTGAGGTTGTGTGCAGTGCGTTTATACGCACGTCGGACGGAGTGGTGAAGTGTTCTTCTCTCCGCGGGCCCGCTAAACACGAACCACGCGAGTCACGCAACTTCTCTGAACTTCACGAGAAGTTTCGACATTCGAGTCGACGGGTGACGAGAGAGAGGGAGAGGTAGAGAAAGAAAATAAGGCTCATTATACCCGGGCATCGAGGAGCTAATGATACCCGCGGCCCCGTCCAGGATAGAGGGATGGTCACGTCGTGAAGTGAGTCGGGGCCGAATAAGAAGACGCGCGCGGCAGGATCGGCTGGGAACGAACATCCTGGCGATACTTTATAAACTCCATTATCTTCGCCGCGAATTCAAGTGCCTCTCTTCCCCTCAGCTTGATATTAACTCGGATTCCGCTCGTAATTTAAAACGATTATTTGCCGGAGGCATTAACCACCATCACCATCGCCATCACCATCGCCACCATCACCATCACCATTACCATCATCATTACCATCACCATCACCACCATCACTACTACTACCACTACTATCATTATCAGTACCATCACCACCACCATCACCATCACCATCACCACCACCATCACCATCACCATCACCACCACCATCACCATTACCATCACCATCACCATCCCATCACCATCACCACCACCATCACATTACTCGTATTCCTAATTTACTTCTTATAGTTGATTCACAATACCCACAGTATATCATTACTTTTATATATATATTTTAAATGAGTCGGTGCTCGTGAAGAGCGCGTGTTGTTCTGATTAATATGCACAAAAAAATACAAAATAAGAAAAATGATTAAATGAGTTATGAATGATAAATGTATGTACGACTTGTATGCTTTTATATTCAATTTTTGTGCTGCAACCCTTAAAGAAGTTTCAAGGAACTACTATAGTAATTAAATTAAAGTCTATTGTTTCAAGAAAGAAGCTCTTTAACGATTGCAACGTAAAAATCAAAGTGACTTGAAAATAAGAGCGCAATAAATCGTAGATAATTCGTGTATAATTAATGAATATCGCATATAATTAATTTATCTATTTTCTATTTTTAACAAGTTCTATAGTATTACGTCTCTTCCTCAAGAGGAAGATCCCTTAAGGGTTGTGGTGCAAAAATAAAAATTTTTCTAATTTAAGAGCGTGTAATTAGCATATCAATTCTATGTATTCGTCTTGTCAATCGATTTTTTATTAGCAGTTAGAATAGAAGTTGGCTGTCCTACAGTTATCTACCTTCTACCAAAAAATATTGTTTTCTGGATTAACTAATGGAGCGCGAGATTTTGGGATTCATTTTCGAAGAGCACATAAATAGCACATATTTACATAATTTTGCCGTTAAATTTTTAGTAGGTGAGGAAATTAGCTGAGTAGACGTGTGTGCTGTGGTAGGTTATTCGTCGGTGCGCCCACTCGGACAAATTGCGATACGCCCGGATCGCTGTTCTACGTCGTACGGGATCGCGCGCACGGACGAGGAAGAGAAAGAGGTATCTCGTCGCTTACCTTAGCGAGCCTCATGGCTGTGAGCCAGCACGCGCGCGATTTTTCGCTGTCGAAAGCGATGACCTTGAGCCCGGGTTCCCCAGCCTCCGTGTCTTCGGCCTCGGCGTTACTGTTCGGCCTCAGGCAGGCGCCCCACGCGAAGGGAGCGCCAAAACACCGTTTCGCGTTCGGAATCCTGTAGACGTTGTAGTCCGTCAAGTGCACGAGTGTGATTAGCTGTTCGTTGTCCTGCAACAAGAAACGACCACCAGGCGGTTCGATGAGAAATATTCATGACTAATTGGAACAACGAAGACAACGCTTTTGGACAATCGGACTGTCGAATAATCCCGAGCGCACGCTATCTTTCTTTCTCCCTTTCTCAAAAAAGCCAGTAATGTTTTTCGGATCATATATATTGAGCGCAAATGTCAGAGAAAGAGACACTGGAGTAACGCGTGATTTCCTTAAAGTTTCCGTATGTTGAGCCGAAATATAGAAACGCTTTTTTAAGAGTTATACCTGTATATTTGTGGAATAATTTATCAACTCTACGAAATATGAGTTGTTCCGAGTAACTCAAAGTCAAGTTTTATGAGACCTTGATGGCTGGAAAATTGCTAATGTCAGCATAAAGGAAATCGAAGCAAGATGGCATATTTTTCAAAATTCCAAAGTTACAGTCCGTAGACAACTAATTATTGTAATTAAGGAGATGCCGAACATGAAAAATTTACCGACATAACATTGACTTTTTTTTGTAAAGTTTATGTCTTGTTGCTTGTCCAGAATTACAAACGCTTTTATACAACAAAAGTGCATGCAAAAATAAATTGGAGCATTGCTCAATATGTGACGAAAACGAAAAAAATATGTTTAAATTTAAATTTTGAGCTGTCAGTTAGTACAATATTTGTTTAATACAAACATTCTGCAGGTTGTATATACCGAAACTGTGGATGCTCCAATCAGGAAAATTTCAAAGATTATTACTACACTTTCAAAATTTAGTTTCGATACCAACAAAGATATGAAAAGTTTCCAGCGACGCTTGGGAGG